ACGTTTCTCTTGGGAGGAGGAATAAGAGCGAGCTTTCACGAGGTTACAGGAGGCGATGACTTCCGCCCCAATACTACAATCTCCCGATCCTAACGGTCAGTTTATACTACAAACTGATGCTAGTGACAGTGGGATCGGGGCAGTCCTCACGCAAGATGTCGATGGAGAAGAGCGTGTGATAGAATACGCTAGCCGATCACTCAACAGCGCTGAGAGAAATTATACGGTCTCCGAAAAAGAGTGCTTGGCAGTGGTATGGGCTATTGGAAAGTTCCGGCCGTACATTGAAGGGCATCACTTCAGGTTCATCACTGATCATAGTTGCCTGAAATGGCTCCACAATATGAGAAATCCCACGGGAAGACTAGCGCGATAGGCGCTAGCATTGCAAGGCAATGTCTTCGATATTGAATATCGAAAGGGGGATCTCAATGTGGTGCCTGACGCATTGTCTAGTGCCTATGAGGAGGAGGGGATTGAAGTGAGTGCCATAAATAGTCGACCGGAAACCACTGACGCCTGGTATTTGCAACAATACCAGGAAGTATGCCAAGACCCACAATCTCACCCCTTATGGAAGGTAGTGGGAGGAAGTCTGTATCATTATCAGCCTGATGAGGACGGTGAAGGGTCCATCGACAACGATGAAGCGTGGAAGCTTGCGGTGCCTAGGGAGAAAAGGTACCAGGTGCTCCAGGAGGTCCATGATGCTCCTACAGCAGGGCATCAGGGGCGAGAGCGTACGTTCTCCAGGGCTAGGCGCTTGTACTACTGGCCTAAGATGTATGATCAGGTCAGGGAGTACGTAAAGAGATGCCCGGTGTGTCAGCAATGCAAAGTGGAACAAAGGGCACCTTGCGGGCTGATGGGTCGTAGACAAGTGTCACGACCCTGTCAGGTGGTGGCCAGTGATATCACTGGTCCATTTCCCAAAAGCTCTCGCGGTTTTGAGTACATCTTAGTCTTTGTAGACTTGTTTAATGGCTGGGTAGAGTGTGTTGCAATACGCAAAGCCAATGGGAAGACAATTGCAAGGGAATTACACGAGAGGATTGTCACTAGGTTTGGCGCGCCAGAGGTATTCTTGTCGGATAATGGAACCGAATTCAAGAATCAGGAAGTCGCTTCATACCTTCAGATGAACGGCATCCAGCGCGCCTTGACTCCCGTGTATCATCCCCAGGCGAATCCTACAGAGCGAGTAAACAGGACACTCAAAACCATGATCACGTCTGACGTATAGTAAGCCGTGATCATAAGAGCTGGGATGAACACCTGTCAGAGTTCAACTTCGCGTTGAACTCGGCAACTCATAGCGCCACGGGATATAGTCCTGCGATGCTCATGTTGGGACGTCAGCCGGTACCTTCTATGACGTTCAGAAGAGCCCAAGATCAGCAGATCCTTGAATGTTCGGAGGGTCAAGCTGTGGTGGATTGGACTGAACATATGGAGAAGCTTCCTAATTTATGGGAAAGGGCCAACCCCAAGTCAAAGGAGGAAGCTGTGCGTCAGGCGGCTTATTATTACCGGAAGAGAGGGCAACCCGAGTTTAAGGTCGGAGATTGGGTTTGGAAGAGGCACAGGATTCTCTCTTCGGCTGCCCAAGGCATTTCAGCCAAATTGGCGCCGAAATATGCCGCTCCGTACGTGATTGAAGAGGTTTGTGGATCCAACACGTCCAGACTAGGCAATCAGCTGGAGATCCTGTCCGAGCTCTTCCATGCCAAAGATCTTAAACCGTCCTACGGTCCGGGTGAGGATGAGGAAAGCGAGGAAGTCACGATCCTCGCGAGCCGCAAAATAACCAGCCGTCGGAGGAGGCGAACGGTTCCGTGAATGCATGCGAAAATCCGGGAGGGGATTTACCAAGCGAGCGGATCGAATTAGCAGCTCCCACGGCCGTAGATAAGGATCCCACCGAGACGTCGGATTTACCGGTATCTGCCCCAACCAAGAGAGGTCGAGGTCGACCTCGAATGGTCCCAGAGACGGTCACCGGTCCAGTAAGAGGCATCAACTCTCCCATGAAGGAAACAAGAGCGAGAGGTAGGCCTCGAAAGACCGTGCTTGTTGTGCAAGGGACGGTTGGGCCGATAAACCCGAACGGTAACAGACGAGGGCCAGGACGTTCCCGCAAAGAATCGCAAGGGAACGTATTACTCGGTGGGATGCGGCGTATATTAGGGTTTTTCTTCGCGCAGAGAGATTTATCCGAGATTTTTTTGTTTTGGATGTTTTAGATGGACCGGAGAATCGTTGTCGAAGAGGAGACCTTCGAGGTCACACAGATACTATTGGATCTGCAACTGGGCCCTGATGCTACGCAGTTAATTGAAGATCTGCGGAACTTCGCCAGGGTCCAGTTGGAGGGGACCACCCGAAGGGAGCGACAGAATGCTTCGGTGGCAGACGTTCTCCGGGACTCATCGTGGGTCGCCCCGAAGAAGTCTTCCCGGGACGCTTCGACACAGACGGAGGACATGGACAGTGTCGATCGTCCCAAATCCATAGTGGACCAGGGGGTGCACACCCTCAAGTCCGGCGTACCCCAGATGTCGGACAGTGCGAGTCAGTGCCCAGGACCCTGAGAAACCTATGGGGCATCGCACTGGGTCTGCAACCACCCCCGCATCCCGGAGCAGCCAACTCTTTTTCTCGACTTCAGACACTTACGTCTGGGGATCAACGAGGTGGAGAGTGCCTGGCGGTTACGCTCAAGAGCTCCAGTCTCAGGTGCAGGCGCACCTGAGACGCTTCATGATCCGCCAGGGTGCAGAAGCACTGCTCGGGGAGTGGGCAGAGATGGCTCAGCATCAGAGAGCCTACGGAGAGGCCTTGCTGCGGGTGGAAAAGGGAGCGGAGTTCCCCGCAGCGCTCCCGGCGCCGGCTCAGGAGAAGAGAGCCCCGGGAGCTACTGACGCTGGACCGATGCTCACGGTCCATGTGGATGGGCTTATGACTCCAGATACCACAATTGTGGTTAGGTCGCAAGATGGTCGTGCGCCCGCCACAGTGGGAGGCGTCACCATTACCGCCTCCCAGGGAGTCAGCGCCCAGCAGTCCCCTCTGACTGCTGAGCAGCCTACACAAGATCGGGAGGCTGCTCAATCTCGATCGTAGCTGAGGGGCTGCTACATTTGTGGGGAGCCTGGGGTGACCAACTCCCAGCGGTGCCCGAAGAAGGCTACACACTAGCGCTACCCGAAACATCGAGTGCCAGGTGTATCCAAACGATGATGTAGGCCCTGGAGGGCAATAAAATTAGCCGAAATAAAGAAGGGAGTTGAATATTTAGTTCCTTTGTGCCAACGTTTTTTCCAATCCTCGAAGCACTTAAAAAAATCATTTTTTGTGATCTTGTTCAGCTCCTCCTTCAATGTCATCTATATCTCCTCAATCGTGGCGTAGCGTCGTCCTTTCATGGGCCTCTTCAGTTTTGGGAAAAGGAAAAAGTCAAAGAGAGCCAGGTCTGGGGAATACGATGGCTGCGACACCATTACTGTGTTGCTTTTGGTCAAATATTCGCGCTCAAGCAACGATATGTGAGCAGGGGCGTTATCATGATACAAAAGCCAGTTTTTATTCTTTCAGAAATTTGGACGTTTCTGGCGGATTGCTTCACGCAAATTGCGTATAACTTACAGGTAATATTCCTTGTTGACCGTACTACCCTGTGGCAAGAACTCATGATACACCACGCCCCTGTAATCGAAGAAAACTGTGAGTAAAACCTCGTTCGATCGAACTTGGTGCGCTTTTTTCGGTCTTGGCTCATACAGCAGCTTCCATTGGGATGATTGAGCTTTGTTTTCCACACCATAACCATAAACTCATAATTCATCACCAGTTATGATTCTCTGAAGTATTTAGGTCGTCAACTACTGAGTCCAATATTTCCTGAGTAATGTTAACGCGATGCTGTTTTTGGCCTGAAATTGAGCAGTTTAGGCACGAATTTCGCGACAACCCGACTCATGCCCAAATCCTTGGTTAAAATTGAATGGCATGAGCCAATCGATATGTTTAGATCCTGAGAAACTTGTCTAATGGTGATGCGACAATTGGTCATATATATATATATATACATATACATATTACACACACACACACACACACACACACACATATACATAACATGTATACATGAATAAATTATATATAAATAAATTAAATTCAAATACATATAAATAAATTTAAATATTTAAAACGCATTTCTTATTGGGAGGGTGGGGGAAGGGGCGGGGACTCTTGCGCATGATCTAAGAGTGCTTATCTGATAGTTCATACGCTTCAGATCACTGATCTGACGAGGAGGGAGAGCGGCGGCGTGGTCTCTCGCACGTGATCTAACAATAAAAGTGCTGATTTGATAAATCATGCACTTTAGTTCACTGATCTGAGGCCCCCCCCCCTTAATCTGAGGCTCTCCCTGATCTGTGGCCTCTCTAGTTTACCTACTGAAAGATAAATATTTAACTCACTCAGTTCCTTACTGGTCACGGGTACTTCAGGAGTCACCTCTCATATTAAAAAAAGGACGAATGCCGGATTGTACCTTCTCCGGGCATAACAACAACGACGCAAAGCATACATTTTTTTGTATACCTATGTTGGATCAAATATAAGCTACAGATAGAAGAAAAAATCATATACGGAATTGTGCCTTACTTTATTATTGAAACGTTGCTGTAAAACGTGAAAAGTACTGAACATTGGTCGCTACCTTTGTCGAAAATGTTAGACAGAAGATATGGGTAAATTTCTGTAAGTAGCTGCTTTAACCGTTTAAGTTATGTAGATGGATTATGCTTATTCATTGAATATAATTCAAAATAATATAGTTTAGTTTATAAAATGATTTTACTTATTTTCAAACATGTGCAACGCGCGCTGGAGATAGTAAAAACTAAAGACTACTAATATTATTTAGATTTACATCACAGGTATAATTTACGGATAACATAATATTTAAAGTAACTCAAATACGTCAATTTTACCTTGGACATTAATTTCCCCATTCAATTTCTTTTGACCAAGTTGAAAATTTGGTGGCGGTTGATGATAATTGATACCGATAACGTTATTTGTTGATAGTGAATAATTTGTTCTTATTTTTTCCTCTTCAGCACTGACTTCAGTACTTTGCCAATAAATATCATATATAGATGCACTGCATCTAATCTTTAGCTTTTCGTTAATGAATGATTCAGGATGAATCGGAATATGTAATCCACTTTGTGACGATATTCTCCCAGAATCATTAAATATAATATATGTTGTAATGAATGTTTCCGTAACCTGAAAATTAAAAAAATGCATTATTTAACGCAAAAAATAATTATTTCTACTAGATACAATAGAATATTGCAACAGATTTTTCTAAAGATAATCCTTGCACGAATTTATTATTCCAAGATGACGTACGAGTATATTCGGATATCCTATGGGCGTATGCATGTCAATAATTTGTAATCAATGAAGAGTTTAGAGCAATGCGATTTTATTCAAATTGAGGTCTTAATTAATAAACATATAAGTATAATTAAATATACACGATATTAATTAAATTTAATTTTCAATTCGAATGTTACACATTTCCCTCTCATATCTCTGTTGTATTTTCATGGTTTCGAAACAAAGAATATGATATTTATATTTCATGTGTGTCATTCATAATGTTTATATGAAACCTAAACAAATAGAGAAACAAGAGAGATCTTTTATTTCATCAAATAAAGTTATTGATACTATGCAATTAGTGGGCTTCTGCCTAATTTCGCGTAAAGTATTCAAATATAGTAATTGGGCTTATCCATATCTTGTTTCTTGTTATTCAATTGTCGTTGAGAAAACAAGAGAATGGTAGTATTAGAGAAAACTAAAGGAAGAAAAATCTACTGATCGTAATAGTTATTAAACAATACGAGGCTGGGCTAGTTAAAGAATAGAATGACAACCGTGTACGTCCCGAAAAATGAGGCGATCCCTATAATATTATTATTCAATAAATTGAGAAACACTCGCGAAATTCAAAAAACTCTTTCTTCAGAACCTTTCTTGAATAGATATTCTTTAATTTTCCTCTGTTGCGTAATATTAGAAATTATAATCAAGTATAATCATTTACTCCTTTCTAAATCATACATCGTGATACACGTAATTGACTATAATTATCACAGTTGACAATTTCAGTTTCACTGAAATGAAATTCATTTTGACAAGGTTTAGAAAGCATTTTGAAATTTATTCCTGAAGAGGCCATTAACAAAATGGCGAAACGTTGAATTAGTTTGGAAGTTTTGTAGTTGTGATTTATTTTTGGGATATTCCTCACACTATTGATGATAATTTCTAATACTTTCTTGAGTAAATTTCATAACAACCAAGAACAGCTGTGATGACGAAGAAACCTCTTCAGCACTTTCAAGCTTTTGTGCAAACCATGTCTTTTTAGAAAGTAAATCGAAACGGAACTTTTAGACCGTCCCTATTTTCTCTCAGTGCGAGCATAATTGTGCTGATAGAGAGAAGGTAGTGTATTGGATATTTGCAATAGGATTGTACTAGAATCGCGATTAATTTTATTTCTGTCAGCATAGTATTTTAGGTTGATGAAGGTCATTGCTACTAAAAAGCGCTAACTTCTTGAATTTGTGCTTCCTGTGTGTTACGCTTTCATGTATGCGAAACGAAACGTCGCTATATACAAGTTGAAATATCACGATACGTCAATTTCAATTCTATAGGGGGGAAAAGAAATTAATTTATATTCTTAATTCATATTCATCTTATTTTTATTTAATGATCCACTTCGTCACAAGGCTCAACGCATTCAAAAATGTGCGTGTAGTCCTGATACAAACATTTGCTCGAGTACGTGAGTTGAAATACAGGCGAGATAGGGTTAGGGTATAGAGATGGCAAGTGGATAAAATAAGATAAAAAAAGGGTAACAAATCAGTGGAAACATCAAATCAGAAGGTTGACTTTTTTCTCTCCTTCCATGCTTTAACGTCTTTTCTCAGGTATCTCGTCCACTTGTTTTGGTCATTGTTTGTCCATCTTGTCTGTCAACTGTTCATTATGTGAGTCCGTGCGTCGTCCTTGGCACGTTTCTTTCCTAGCATTACAGCAGTCTTGTAGGCTTTACGTCATTCGAAAGCTAGAAGATCCATCGGAATGATCCAGGTAATTACAAGTATCGCCACGTTTGAGACGGTATGATATGCACACGCTATCCATAATATCCTCTTTGTTGCACCCCCACGATAGACTTGCGGTAATTTTCAATCTTTAACACGTCTCCTCAGACTTCGGCCTCGTATAGTACAATCTAGTGGATAATCGACATCAGTACTCGTTATATGTATGGTCTTGGTCCTCTAATATTACATATGAAGCGACTGAAAAGGGTCGTTTTGGCAGCCACCCTCTTTGTGATGGTTTGGATAAGTCCAATAAGATAGCTTTGTAGAGTTACTCTTATATGTTTGACATGCCCATGTGACGTCGCCTCCATCGTCCCTACCCTTATAGGTAGCGTCGTACGAGATAGATATAGATACCTCGTATCTATACATTATCTAATCAACTATAGTAGTTCAGTCTTTTACCATGCTAGCTGCAAGCCCCGTTTTTGCATCTACTCGTCGATTCGCTTCATTGTTTGACTCAGTTGTAGCTGAGCTGAGCAAGTATTTTTTGTGGTAATAATCACTACCACGTCATCAGTGTGTGCAACAAGGCAGATCTCCGGTGGCATCGTGAGCCTGAGTAATTCGTCATACAATCCATCCCACAAATCACGACCAAGAACTGATCGCGATCCGTAATTTTTATTGTTTTAGTTCATATCTCTGTTATATACGTTATGTTTTGGTCTTTGATGTAGTCCTTCAGTACTCAGAGCAGATAAGGAGGCAGCGTGAAAGTAGTTGAAAACTCCCGCACTATAGCTACTCACCTAGTCGAGTTGAATGCGTTTCTTACATTCAGCGTTGCCAAAATTACGATTGACCTCTCTTTGTGTGATTAAATCTGCGTTTTATCAAAGAAGTCGATTAATTTCTGTATTGCTCTGATTATCGATCGTCCTTGTCTGAATTCCTAAGTTATTTAAGTCTCCGGTATTTTGTACCGCTTTCTGAATTCGTGGTCTTGGCAGCGGTACATAAAATTTCCTCAAGGTATTGAGAAGACTCAACGGTCTATAAAAGGATGGTAAGGCAAGATTCCCATCCTTGCCCTTTGAGATGAGGATCAATTGTGACGTCTTCTAATCTTGCTGAATAGATTCTCCTTACGGCAGGTGTTGTACATTTCCAAGAGAATCCAGTTGCCGCTTCGCGACGGTTCCAAGGATCTTCACAGGAATGCCGTCCGATCCATCTCATCAATCAATTTCGTTCAGTGTCTTTCCTTGCTTAGAGTAGGTCCCCGTCTCAGCATGAATGTGTCGACGTTTGGCTCTCTGTCAGAGCCCATGGCATTTACATTGAAGATCCGCGATCTCGTCCGTCCATCAGTACGCCTATTTGTTCTTGTATCTCACATTCGGTTTTTCGGCATGGAGGTCTCGCAGAGCTGTACTAGAAATCCTATAGTTTTCTTCATCAGCCAACTGGCTCTTTTCTCGCCCGCTACTCCACCAGAATCAGCCTCTACCTAGTCTGTCTTTAGATCTAACTGTTTCGTCAATGCGTCCTTGTGTATATTCTTTACGTTCCACCTCTTGTAACGAATGTTACGTATGGTTCTATTTTGCATTCGTTCAATTATGTTAAATATAATGTATTGATAATCGCTGGCCATATAATCCTCGAGTAGCCGCCATCGTCCGACGCACGAAGAAAGTCGATTCGTCACAAAAGTTACGTCCAGAATGGATGCCCCAAATCCAGGTTTTCTATGAATTATACTTCCGCTCACGTTGACCACTGTCTGATTCAGCCTTGCGGCTATTTTTATCAGTAGTCGTTCCCGTTTATTGGTCGTTGGCATTTCCTATTCGATTGCCTGAGATATTCCTCAGGGCATCTTCGGCAGCTTCCAGTTTTTACTCGAACTCCGCGATAGTGCAGTTCGGGATCAGATACACGCTCGCGTAGATCACTTTTTTGATTTTTAACCATATAAAGTCGGATTTCGACCCATGTCACACAATATATGTAGCGTAATATTCCCGAACCAATATTGCTGCAGTACGGGAGAGGTTTACTTACCATGTCGGCATATTCATGTGTCTGTATGGTTCGCTCATCATTAATATGTTCGTGGTTTGTTCTTCAGCAACCTGGGGTAGCGGAACGTCAGCTAGACTGCTCCGGTTCATGTTACCTTGGAGTATAATCGTCATTTTGTTGTTTTGGTGTTTCGTTTGTCAATGCCGCCTTAAATGCGCACTACATCGTTCCCGTTACATGGTCCATCTGTCCATCCACCGGATAGAGGAACCAGGACGGGGAGCGGTTGCAGGTCTTGGATCTATGGTCCTATCCACCGTATTTTGAGCATGAGTTTCGTCTGCGTGGTTCTTTACAGTCTCTCCGTAAGTGTTCGTATCCCGGCATTTATAGCATCTAGGGATCATCACACGTGCTCTCCCTCGGCAGCTTACGCATCCGAATTTTATTCGTCCCGCTTGCAAGAATTTGGAAGCCTCTCTAATCGAGTTCGCATATCGCCATCTTCTATTCTCAGTTGTTTGAACCAAGGACAGCGAGGTCACTGTCTCTCTTAGTGCGTGGTTCAAGGCATCTCGTACGTCTGCTGTCTCTGAAAGGTAGTCCACATATAATATTTTGAGGGTTACCTTGGAAGTCAGATCTTTAATAGCTTCCGTGGTCCCCAGAGTTCTGTATCTCCCTATTGACAGCATGATGGATCTGATCTTCGCTTTTGCACCGTACCAATACAGTTTCGTATTTCGTTTTGGTGACACATCTCAAATCAAACTTTGTATCGGTCTTGTCGACTATCCATAGCGTCCGTACTACGTCGGTGAACGTTTCTCCTTCCATCGGTTTAATGAGCATTGCTCTACCCTTTGACTTAGGAGTCCTCTGATTTTGTCGTCTCCGATCACTCAGTCGTTTAGTCGACGTTACATCTTTTCTCTGTTCTGTTGTCGTCTGACATCTTGTTTTTTCTGTCTCCGTCTGTGATTTCTAAAAGTTTCGAAATCCTCCTCATTTGTGGTCTTTAATTGTTCCTTACATGATGATGAATCTTCCATCATTATCACAGGAATTTTCGTTGCTTTATTGCTCTTTCTTCTTTACCGGTTATTTTTATCTTTT